AGATGCAGACCCGGGCCTGGGGGACGCGGAGGTGGGGGGCAGACTTCGGCTGGCGCGGATCCGGGCCGGGGGTGAGGGGTCCAGACCCCGAGAGGAGGGCCAGAGCCAGGGGCGGCCGGGAGGGAGGCGGGGGTGCGGCCCTAGCCCGTGCGAGGTGGTGCGGAGCCAGAGCTGAGTGGGGAGCACTGGGGTAGGGGTGGAGGACATCGGAACGGAGCATCCCCTCCTCCTCAGTCGTCTTCTTCGGCTCCTCCTCCCGCCTGGGGTCGGGACCCCCTAGCGGGTCCGCCTGCCGGACTCTCGCTCCGCCGCCCTCGGGGCACTGAAACCACCAGGGCGCGGACAGGCCTTGGGGAGAACTTGACTGGGCTTTTCGTTTATGGGAAACACTCCCCAGGCAAACGCTCAGACAGGCCCGCGAGAGGACGTGATGAGTGTAGGGAGGTGACATCACAGCCTTGCCCCACCAGAGCCCCACCATCCCTCAGTGGTTCACCCGGGGGGAAGGGGTACAGACACCTGAAGGTTGTGTAAGATGATGACCAGGGCCTCGCACCTCAGTGGCCCCCCAGCCTCAAATCTCCGCCCCTCTCCCTCCCGCGCACGGAGGGACCTAAGCGGAGACTGGAGGAGGGAAGAAGGGAAGATCCCCATCCAGCCTTTCTTTGAGCCAGCGAGCGAGCTCAGCCTCGGCTTCCCGCCCCTCCCCTCCTGCCCCATGCCTGAGCCCGAACGCTGCCCCTCTTACAAAACCCTCATCATAAAGAGCAATCATTGTTAGGAAAGAAAAATTACAAAAAGGGGGAACAGAGAAAGCATCCTCTCCCCTCCCAGAGGAAAAAAAAAAAAAGGAAGCAAAGGAAATCCCAACAGGTACTGACCGTTAATTCTAGCTTTTGGTCATTGGCTAATAAAAGAAAACGCTTATTCGGAGGGAACTAACCCCCCAAATAAGGGCAGGAGACTCCTCAGAGCTGTCTCCTTCAACCCCAGGGATGTTATTGTTGGTCGTGCCTGTGTTGGATTTACTCTTGATTTCTTTCTCTCTTTCCCACTTACTTAAAAACCCAATTTTTCCAAAGTAAGAGAATGCCAACATCGTGAGCCTTGCTTACCCATCTTGACTTGGAGTCAACCAGAATCCTGACTCGAGTTGCAGAACGAGTGGTAAGATGAAATTTAGGCTAACCTTTCCCAACCACGGACTTGAAATGTGACTGTTTTATCACTCCAGGAGTAGGGATTAAAACTTCATGCCGGAGAAAATGGAATAAACATGGGATTCAAGTCCATATCCATTTGTCTTATTCTCAACAGACCAAAGAAAGCTTTCTAACTACCGCCCCCCCCCCCCTTTTTTTTGACGTGCAGTCTTAACCATCCAGATGTGGGAGATGGGCCCAATATATCATCATTTAAACTCATCTGGGTGTTCTAAGTCCACAGATGTGTCTAATTTGGAAGCTATTGATTTAAGTTTTCTCTTTAAGAAAACAAATCTCATCTTGAAACTCTTTAAGCCTGGAGGAAAAAAAAAACATTCAGAGGGAAAAGGACATTCTCTTGAACTGAATTCAACTAAGATTAATCATCTAAAGGAAAACATGTTTTACTTCGGCCCAAGTAGAGTCTAGTCATGTGACTCATAGTTTAAATACATCCAGAGCTCCTATGTTCACCTCCCAGGGCAACTGATGTCTCTCTGACTTCTCTTGATTCCAATCTTGTTTCCCCAGACTAGTCTAGCTCGCTTGGCTTCGGTAACAGTCACGCCAAAGCCTGTGTTCTTTCCACTTGAGAATCCACTTAAAATCAGCTACATTTGGAGAGCTGGCTTCTATCAAATATGCTAAAAACCCAGATCGATTTTTTTTAGAAGTGTCCCGTAGTAAGCAAACAACCTAAGCTTTCCCACATGACTAACACCTCCTAAGATCATCTCTAGAAAGAAACAAGAATCTCTTTGTCCCAAGGGATTGGCAAAATCCCGGGAATGTTGGGACATTGGGAATGGGGTCTAATCCTTCCTTAGGAAGCATGGCGGCCACACCTCTTCACCTAAAGGACTTCTTTATGCAGTGGTGGTGGCTGGTGAGGGGGGTGGAAGACGAGGCCCCGCTTGGGAGTCTCTGCTTAACTCTTGGGGAACAATAGTTTCCTTGCAGCGAGCAAATGAAACTTTGGGAGAGAACTGTAGTTGCTGATGACGTGGCCCGACTGATGTTTTCCTTGGCCACAGAACTAGCCGGGCATCTGGAGATGAAGCCGGTCCTCTTCTCACCACAGCCCAAGGACCACCCCCCATTTAAAGCCCAAATCAAGCGCCCTGCTTCAAGGACTCTCCAGATCTCCTCTCCCTGCTCGGGAGGGAGCAGGGGCCTCCACAAATCGTCCACCATTCCCGATGCATCACCAGCGGTTATGTAGGAAAGATACACCGTGTAAGGTCTGGTTATTAGGAATATACAGGAAGTATTTATGGTCAGACAAAAAATGATGCAGCATTTGAAACACAGGCCAGCCATGTTTCTATTTTCAATGCTTAGTAACTTGAGAGAGCCACGATGCTATCAATTATTGCTGATTCGTTTGGAGGGCAGTATCTCATATAATTGCTATTGTCTTCTTGCAAAGCGTCCAAGCTTTTGCATTTGGTCTCATGGTTTCACCAGTGAGAGGGGTGGGGAGAAAGGAAGAGGCAACACTATTCATTAAGGCTAATTAATGAGTTACAGAACTCTCTGGCAGTGCTTACTCAGAAATCTTGGGGCACCTGAGTGGCTCAGTCAGGCGTCTGACTTTGGCTCAGGTCGTGATCTCATGGTTTGTGGGTTCGAGCCCCTGGTCGGGCTCTGTGCTGACAGCTCGGAGCCTGGAGCCTGCTTCACATTCTGTGTCTCCCTCTCTCTCTGCCCCTCCCCTGCTCATGCTGTGTCTCTCTCTGTCTCAAAATAAACATTAAAAAAAATAAAATAAAATAAAATAAAATAAAATAAAATAAAGGTGCAGGCTTTCCATTGGGTGACCTGTTCTCATTGCTTAAAGAGAGATCTATGGACTTCTGGTTCAAAATGGCAGGTCGGGCACCTTTTGCTTCTCTTATTACTTGAGACCTCCCCCCTGCAATCAAGATATTGAAGTGAAAAAAAAGGATGGGGAAGGAATTGTGAAGGGAGAGAAAATCACAGAGAACATCTCAGCACCTTTCTCGAAGATGGAAAGCTGATCGTAGAGAGTTTCCGGATGGAACAAGAAGAGAAATTACAGCCTCCAGAAGGAAACGGAGGACCTTCTCCGTGTGGAAGAAGATGCCTGTCTTCGTGTGGACAAGGCATCGTCCTCCGGCCTCACCCAGTTCACGCGTAAGGAAAAACGGATCGGGTCCCTGGCGTAGAGCTGTGCTGCCGTGTAAGAAACACTCTCTTCCCGGTGAGTTTTTACCTGGAATGGGGAGCTCTGGTTGGGGTGTGGTAGTTACCGATGGGCACGCTAGAGCTGGGCTACTCCAGGTTCAGGCACCCACACCTGGCCCGTACTTGACTCTAGGCTTCATTAGAGTTATCTTCCATCCTGAGGACGTTGTGTGGCAGGGGTGGGGAGAGGGGGGAGGACGGCGGTGGGGTGCAGACAGGGAAGCCTGTGCAGATGTGGACTTGTGGGTTCCAGGCCCGCGTCGGGCTCTGTGCTGACAGCTCAGAGCCTGGAGCCTGCTTGGGATGCTGTGTCTCCCTCTCTCTCTCTCTGCCCCTCCCCAGCTCGCACTCTGTCTCTCTCAAAAATAAACATTAAAATATTAAAAAAAAAAAAACCCACAAACCAAACCATGAAATGTCCAACTTTAAGTTCAAACATCCCCACGAGGAACGGCGACTCTGCAGTGTGGAAACTGCTGTTAGGCTGGTCCCCTCTGCACAGAACCAGCCCGTGGCCCCAGAGAGCTGGGAGGATGCGTCCATTCCTGCTTCTCCTGGGAGGCCTGAGAATTTTCCAGTGAACTCAGCAGCGAACGGAACAGAAGTCTCCAGTTAAAGCTCGGGTTAAATATTAAGTTTGCTCAGCCCTTTCATTCACAGTGTTTTAACTTTACGTGGTATTGAAGTCCTGGCCGGTGAATTATTTGCACAGGTCCTCCTGCTGGGAAGGACCTCCCGTCCTGTGGAATTCAATCAACCATCACCCAGGGGGCACAGCTGGCACTTCCTGGTCCCTTTACAGACCTTGGTTCCTTAAAGGAGCCTCTCCACAACCTCCTTCCTCCGTTTTATGGACGGCAAAGCCGAGGCTCAGAGGAGCAGTGGACTTGCCTAAGGTCTTGAAGCTAGGAAGTCGCAACGGTGGGACTCGAACCCAAGTCCGTCGAGTCCCCATGGTCTTTTTGTTATGCTGGCTCCACCCAGATATCGAGAAAATCAGCAGAATAGACAAACTGACCTCCGTGTAAGGAATGACCACCCTGGTACCCAGAGTTACCATGTAGGTACGGGTGACCAACCGTCTCTGTTTGCCCAGGACCGAGCGTATTCCTGGGTTGTGGGACTTTCGACCCATGAGTTGGTCACCCCACACATAGGGTTGCACAGATTATTTACTGAACAAAGGCGCTTGTCCCAGGAGCAGGAAGAGGCTGTTGTTCAGCCATGCTCCACGCACCCAGCTGTCCCCTGTGCATCAGGGCTGTGTCCCCTCCCCGCCAAGGAAGGTGCAGTGTGGACTAGCAGAGGCCCAAGGGCAGCCTGTCTCAAGGTGAGCCACATTGGCATGGGGATTATTTTTTTTTTTCAACGTTTTTTTTTTTTTTATTATTTTTGGGACAGAGAGAGACAGAGCATGAACGGGGGAGGGGCAGAGAGAGAGGGAGACACAGAATCGGAAACAGGCTCCGGGCTCTGAGCCATCAGCCCAGAGCCTGACGCGGGGCTCGAACTCACGGACCGCGAGATCGTGACCTGGCTGAAGTCGGACGCTTAACCGACTGCGCCACCCAGGCGCCCCTACATGGGGATTATTTTGAGCTGAAGGCAATTGAGACCCTATAGGCTCAAGAGAAACGTTTGCCCCTCTTTCAACTACATAAAAGAATCTAAATCAGAGGATCTTTCCAGAAATAAGGGTTATTACCAGAGATAAGTTTTATCTTGAGTCACCCATCTGTATGGCAGGGCAAATGTTGGTTTTCCAAACATGTACTCCTTTTCAGCCTCCTGTGAATTACATTCTTTCCCTTCGAAGTCTGAGACCCCCTACCCCCTTCTCCTTAGTTCAGAATGGCATACGTACCTCATTTTGCCTGTCTTTGGAATTTCCACGTCTGTGTGGATTCCCTGTACGTATGCTATTAAATCTGATTTCCTCCTTTCCTCCTGATTCTTAGTCCAGCTAGAATGACCCTTGAAGGGGACAGGAATTGTTGCCTCCTGATGCTGGCTACGGTCCCACCAATTCCTCTGACATTACTAACCCAGAAGTTTAAGCAGATGAGTAATCAAGGTAATGTCTTCATTTTTTTTTTTTTTTGAGACAGAGAGAGAAAGTGATCGAGGGGCACAGAGAAAAAGAGAGAGAATCCTACAAGGGGCAGAGAGAGAGAAGTGGAGCTCACCCAAAGTGGGACTCAAACTCACAAACTGTGAGCTCATGCCCTGAGCCAGATGCTTAACCGACTGAGCCACCCAGGCGCCCGGGTAATGTTCTCATTTTAAACTAACCTTTTGACCCTCTTTGGCCAGAGAATTTCTCCTAGTCCCCCCCCGGGGCCGCCCCCCAACATACACACACTATCAAACACAAATTCCTAACCGTGTTCTTACAAACTAGACCTGTCACAGATGGGAAGTGAAACTGGAGGGCTATGGTAGATCTAGAATGCTCCGTCTGATAGCAAGCCTGTCCTCCTGGGTATATGGTAGGAATGCACTTTCCATCTTGGAATCTCCAGCCAGTGACTCGTGAGCAAAATTGAATGCGTCGCTTCTGGGCTACGGCCATCAGTTCTGCTGAAAGTTCTCAAATGGTCTTCCTCTGTGCCACAGTGAGGGCAACGTTCAAGATGGCGGCAGCTCTGTCCCAGGGGTCCTGTCACTGAACAGATCCCCTGGCTAACGTGCGATCGACATGGAGCCTAGGTAAGAACTAAATATTTACTGTTAAAAGCCAGTTGTCCTTGGGGGGCGTTTCTCACTGTGGCATAACCCAGCCTCGCTGCGCTCCATGGCGAAGAAGCTTACACTTGATTCTGTGAACTACATGTGGGGCTCTGGAGGGGAGTGTGGTCAGGCTTGCAGTTTCCAAAGACCACTCTACTCTAGCTCACTGGGGTTGTTAAACATAAATAAGTTTAATAACAGGGCTTAAATATATTCTTATGTATATTCTTCAATATATTCTTAGAAACTACGATTTTTTTTTTTTAACTTTGATCTTTTTTTTTGGTAAACGTTACTTTAATGGTAGTTGTGATGGTTGGTTCTATGTGTCAACTTCACGGAGCTAAGGGATGCCCAAACAGCTGGTGAAACATCATTTGTGGGAGCGTCTGGGAGAGTGTTTCCAGAAGACATTAGCATTTGAATCGGCAGATCAGGTAAAGAGATGTCTTCACCTGTGTGGCCGAAGGTTCTGATCAGAACAGAAAGGAGGAAGGGTGAGTTCTCACTCTCAGCGTGGGGACCCCATCTTCTCCTGCCCTTGGACATTGGCGCTCTCCGCTCTCAAGCCTTTCGGACTCGGACTGAATTGTGCCACCAGCTTTCCGGGTTCTCCAGCTTGCAGACGAGAGGGGGTGGGCCTTCTCAACCTCTACCGTCACGTAAGCAACTCCTGTAATAAGCCTCCTCTTACATATACGTCACTCTGTATATCCTATGCGTTCTGTTTCTCCGGAGAACCCTGGCTAATACAGGAAGCCGCGAAAAATCTCCTGAGTGATACAAAAAACAAATTTATTGTCCTACGTCGATTAAAAGTCAACACTTCCAGTCGGGCCGTATGGGGCTTTCTCAGCCACGCTGCCGGCCCCAAGGTTCTGCATAGTTTTGTGCCCTCCCAACCCTGCAGTAGTAGATCAACACAGCCCGCAGGCTCCCTTCTGGGCAAACAGACCTGGAAGATAGTGGGGGGCTGGGCAAGGAAGGGGTCAGTGACAGCAGGAAGTGAGCTCTGCCCTGGCTAGAGGCCAGCCGTCCTTCTGGATCAGAAGCCACCATTCAAGACACTTCTCTAAAGAAGACCTCCGGATGGCCCACAGGCACATGAGAAGATGCCCAACGTCGCTCCTCATCAGGGAAATACAAATCAAAACCACACTCATCTATCACCTCACGCCGATCAGAGTGGCCAAAATGAACAAATCGGGAGACTATAGATGCTGGAGAGGATGTGGAGAAATGGGAACCCTCTTGCACTGTTGGTGGGAATGCAAACCGGGGCAGCCACTCTGGAAAACAGTGTGGAGGTTCCTCAAAAAATTAAAAATAGACTTACCCTAGGACCCAGCAATAGCACTGCTAGGAATTGACCCAAGGGATCCAGGAGTGCTGATGCAGAGGGGCACTTGTACCCCAATGTTTATAGCAGCACTCTCAACAATAGCCAAATTATGGAAAGAGCCTAAATGTCCATCAACTGATGAATGGATAAAGAAATTGTGGTTTATATACACTATGGAATACTACGTAGCAATGAGAAAAAATGAAATATGGCCTTTTGTAGCAACGTGGATGGAACTGGAGAGTGTGATGCTAAGTGAAATAAGCCATACAGAGAAAGACAGATACCATATGGTTTCACTCTTGTGTGGATCCTGAGAAACTTAACAGGAACCCATGGGGGAGGGGAAGGAAAAAAAGAAAAAAAGAGGTTCGAGTGGGAGAGAGCCAAAGCATAAGAGACTCTTAAAAACTGAGAACA